CCACTGCCCCCCACGGCCCCCCCACCCCCCCACGGCGCCCCATGGCACACCCATCACCCCACGGCGCCCCATGGCACCCCCCGGCCCCCCGACAGCCCCATGGCACCCCACGGCGCCCCATGGCACACCCATCACCCCACGGCGCCCCATGGCACCCCCGGCCCCACCTGCTTGTTCATGAAGACGTAGATGACGGGGTTGTAGACGGTGGAGGCCTTGGAGAAGACGGAGGGGACGGAGGCCAGCCCCACGTCGAAGGCCTGGCCCCGGGGCGTCACCACCCAGAGGGCGAAGGCGGAGTAGGGGGCCCAGCAGACCAGGAAGCCCAGCACCATCACCACCACCATCTTGGTCACCTCCCGCTCCGCCTTCTGCGTCGTGGCCGACTGCTCCTGCTGCTTCGCCACCTGCGGGGACGCCCGCGCTATAGGGGCCCGCCGGGCAACAGCCCACGCTATAGGGTCCCACTGGGGAATGACTGGCTCCATAGGGTCCCCTCTGACCCCTGGGGAACGGCCAGCGCTATAGGGTCCCCGCTGACCCCCAGGGAATGGCCAGCGCTATAGGGTCCCGCTGGGGAACAGCCAGCGCTATAGGGTCCCCGCTGACCCCCAGGGAACAGCCAGCGCTATAGGGTCCCGCCAGGGAACAGCCGTCTCCATAGGGTCCCCTCTGACCCCCAGGGAATGGCCAGTGCTATAGGGTCCCCCCTGACCCCTGGGGAACAGCCAGCTCCATAGGGTCCCCTCTGACCCCAGAGGAACAGCCTGTGCTATAGGGTTGCGCCAGGGAATGGCCACCCCTATAGGGTCCCCCCAGAGAACGACCATCTCCCTAGGGTCCCCTCTAATCCCCAGGGAACGGATGTCTCCATAGGGCCCCCCCGAGGAACGACCACCCCTATAGAGTCCCCCTGAGGAACACCCACCCCTACAGGGTCCCTCCAAGGAACAGCCATCTCTATAGGGTCCCCCCGAGGAACGGCCACCCCTATAGGACTCCCTGGAGAACGGCAACCCCTATAGGGTTCCCCCAAGAAATGACCACCCCTATAGGACCCCCTCTAACCCCTGGAGAACACCCATCTCTATAGGGTCCCCCTGGAGAACGGCCATCTCTATAGGGTCCCACAGAGGAACACCCACCCCTATAGGACCCCCTGGAGAACACCCACCCCTATAGGGCCCCCAGGAACACCCACCCCTATAGGACCCCCTGGAGAACACCCACTGCTATAGGGTCCCCCTGGAGAACACCCATCTCTATAAGACCCCCTGGAGAACACCCACCCCTATAGGACCCCCAGGAGAACAACCACCTCTGCAGGACCCCCTGGAGAACACCCATCTCTATAGGACCCACCGGCGACCACCCGC